TGAGAGTATATTCATAAAAACAAGCCTACTGCATGTGATGAGTATATTAAAAAAAAGGTTCAAGAAGTGAAGTGCCACGAAGGAATAAAAACTGCTCTAAGCCAATTAGCTACTGTTTTTTACTTAAATCTTTTGTAAATTGAACGTTTAATCGACTCATAAAAACAGTAAAATGTTTATATTAATCTACATGATCAATATAGAAGCAAAAAAAAAAAGTAATAAAATAATTTTAATGCGTGTTCTTGAAATACTTAAGCTAGTTAATAGTAATTAAGTTAAATAAGTGAGTTGATTTGAAATTGTTTTCGTTTAGTCATTTCTAGGTTGGAGAGAATAGAGAAACGCAAGGATTCCATTTAAATCAATGCTCAACTAGCCCCAGTATCCTCAATGCAATGTAACTTTAAAAATGGCTTTGACAAAATTTTTTTATTGATTAATCTGTAAAAAATATTTTTAGTTACTATTTTATATTTTGATTTTGGAACTTTTATCTCCAAACTACTTTATATTTTATATATGGAGAAAGAATTAAAAAAAAATAATGCCCTATATTGCAACAAAAAAAATATATAAATTTCGAATAAATTTTGATTTTTTATGCTCGAATTAAATTTTATATAATTATTTCTTGTATTTTCACAGAGAGGAACAAGATTACACAAAAATAAACTCTTACTACTAAATATTTGCGAAACTTATAAATGCATGAAGTACAAATCAGTTTTATTACTATACCGTTGAAAAAATTGAAAAAATAAGTTAAATAGTAGTAACAGGCTATTCTTAGTGAAAAATGAGGGAAAACAGTGAAACTTGCCAAATAATAATAGGAATTTAACATTGAACTTAGCTACAATTATTTCCCCTTTTTTTTTTCTCTTGATTTTTAAAGAGGAAAAGGCAAAAGCCCTAGTTTTACAAAACAGTAGTTACGTTATGACGTTGTGCTTAAAATTTACCTAAATTACTTTTTAAATGAAACGGAGTTATATTTATTACATTTAAATATCTTAAATCTGAATAAAATAATCATTATTTTAGAAAAAAAAATTTCTAGCTTGATGGTTTTAACCCAAAAAGTTTACAATACATTAGGCCTATTACGCTGAAGATTTTATGTAGTAGTAGTAGTAGCAGTAGTAGTAGTAGTAGTAGTAGTAGTAGTAGTAGTAGTAGTAGTAGTAGTAGTAGTAGTAGTAGTAGTAGTAGTAGTAGTAGTAGTAATAGTAGTAGTAGTAGTAGTAGTAGTAGTAGTAGTTGTAGTAGTAGTAGTAGTAGTAGTAGTAGTAGTAGTAGTAGTAGTAGTAGTAGTAGTAGTAGTAGTAGTAGTAGTAGTAGTAGTAGTAGTAGTAGTAGTAGTAGTAGTAGTAGTAGTAGTAGTAGTAGTAGTAGTAGTAGTAGTAGTAGTAGTAGTAGTGGTAGTCAAAAGAAAGAAAAACTTTTGTTCAAACAATACTTAAACAAAATAAAAAACATAAAAATGGTGATATCCCAAAAAAAATTGGGATATCATGAAAAAAACAATTGGGATTAAAAACTGCAAAATAAATAGTTTACATGCATAAATAAATTGTTTACAATAATAACCTAATTCTAAGTTTAACAGTTTTTTTTGTCAACTGAAAACAAATGAACTCAATGAAAAAACTACATATTATAATTCTTAAAACCAATTTTATTGATATGTATTAAATATAAACGAAAAATGTAATAAAATAATAAGAGCAATTTAATTATAAAAAGAAAAAAATAAAAATTAAAGAAAAAAAAAACATAACAAAAAAGAAATAATTATTGTTAGCAACTATACAGAGTAAAATATTATTGAATAATGGATCTCAAAATGTTAATGTGTGCTTTATAAATTTAATTTTTAAATTTTCAATTTAATTTGTATTTTAAAGGTTCTCAATGAAAAGAATTAACTTAGTCTTCCTTCAGTTTCCGTACAACTAAATAGTATTATTATAATATATTAAACTAAATAGCATTATTATAATATATTAAACTAAACAGCATTATTATGACAAATTAAACTAAATAACATCATTATACTATATTAAAATATATTTTAATTTAAATAGCATTACTATAATATACTAGTTTATATTTTAAACAGCAACCCCAAACAAGTCCCTAGCAGCCATGTGGTGCGAAGGACAAATGTATGTTTTTTAAATGTATAAGTTGATAGATAGCACTTTTTATTGTAAAGCACGAATTTTTAAACTAGTTACTTTAACTCACTATTGAACGCGCATGCGTAAAATAGCATTGTTAACGCTCTTTAGATATTGTAAAAATGTGTGTTGGACATTTATATAAACTGGAGTCATGTAAATAATATTTGTTTTTGAAATATATTATAATGATTGTTTTAAAACAATTATAATAATAATAATTTTCTTTATCTACTAACTTATTTATACTTTTAATTATTCCCAGCGGGCACAGACGTCAGTCTGACGTCTTACGGATGTCTTAACTAGGTCGCGACGTCTCAGACTAAATTAGGACGTCCTAATGACGTCCGGTAAAGACGTCTCTGTTAGGACGTCCTAGTGAAGTCTACATAAGGACGTTATCAGGACTTCCATATATAGACGTCCTATTGACGTCCTTGGACCTACTACTAAGACCAGCTTTCGACGTCCTAAATAATTTTTAAATAAAACGTCTAAGAGACGTCTAAAGGACGTCTTTTAAAACATTTTATTTATTTAAATAATTATAGATAAATTTATATATAAACTTGGCGCATTAAATATTATGCGCTAACTCAGTGAATTAAAAATGTCTACTTGTTGTCAAATAACTAACTTAGTTAAATAAAAATGCCTGCTCGTTTATTTATTTTGGTTGGTATTTATCGCTTAAAGTTATTTCTCAATTTACTATTCAATTTTAAAATGAAAGAAAAATGAGTTTGGTTATTTAGTGTAAATAAGTTACCAGTATAGTGAGGGAACTTTGATAAAAGATGAAATGTTATATAATTATTCAACAACATTTCACATTGATCTTATATATATATATATATATATATATATATATATATATATATATATATATATAAATATATATATATATATATATATATATATATATATATATATATATATATATATATATATATATATATGTATATATATACATATATATATATATATACATATATATATATATATATATATATATATATATATATATATATATATATATATATATATATATATATATATATATATATTATAATATTATATAACATATGTATCTATAAAATATAGTATGATGGTTACATGATATTTTTTTCTTTTTTACATTTTTAATGTCTTTATACAACTAATGATTAAAAAACATGCAGTGAGAATGTTTTTCAAAATAAATCTTTTAAAGTTAAGGAATCCTTTATACTAAAACGCATTCTAATTTGTGTGAAATTTTTCAAATTTTTTAAATAGGTTGAGGAATCTAGTAGAATGAGTAGGGGAGACCGGGGCTAGTTGACTCGGTTTTTACTCTATGAGTTCTGTAGTCCTAACGAAACATTTTTTTGAAAACATAAAAGTGTAGTTTCAAAGAGTATGAATTTGGGTAACTTATAAAAGTTGTATTCATTTACAAAAAAAATGTTGTGGGGCCTTTCTGGGCCCTCAAAAAAAAAAAAAAATTGCGCTAACTTACCCCACCATGGGGTAAGTTGCTTATACTCAAGGGGTAAGTTGACTCGCAATAATAAAAGCTAAAGTTAAAGGTCCTATTTAAGTGTATTTCAATAATATTTTTACCCCGAGCCCCTTTTTTTTAAAGGAATCATAGCAGAAATATACTTTTATCAATATCATCAAACTTTTGGATCAAGTCATTGTAACATTTTAAGCAATAGAAAGTAAATATAATTAAAAAATACAGTGACAAAACAAAACAGTGTTCCCAATTTATGGTTATACAATAAGAATTAAAACTTATATTGTTTTATTACATGAATATTTTTAACTAATGGAGTTTCAAATCAGCTAGCAGCAATTATTGCAAATGAAAAACAAAGATTTTCCGATTATACATGACTCGTGAGCCCAAAGGTGACATTGGGTGCATTGAACCCAAACTTCCCCTGCTTTACTTTTAGAAAACATTCCAACACAAACCAAACAAAAACACTCCTCTACAACAGAGCTATTTGGACAATTCAAACTTTTCTCCATTAAGTGTAAACTTCCTTTACTATTTGATCTTTTACTCATCTTAATATTATCTTCGTTTAACTTTTTTGCTTGTTTTCTCTCTTCAATTGCTAACTTTTTCTTTTTAGCTGATTCTTTCTCTATTTTTAAAACATTCATATTTGGTGAATCTGTTAAAATTGATGTGGTTCTACTTCTTTTATTAGCCCTAACTCTTTTTCTTGGTTCAGCTTTTTTGAATGGTCTTAAATCTTCAGGCGATAGAACTACAGTTGACTCTGTAGATGCACTGTGTTCATCATTACTGCTTGAATATGAAATATCTTGACGTGGTTTTATATCTTTTGAGCAACCAGCATTTAACATGTCATTCTCAGATATTGTAAAGTCAACATCCATTACATTACTTATATTTAGCACTGTACTTTCCACAGCACAGTCTTGTTTCGGAGGTGGTCTATCTGTGGTATAGGCTGGCATAAAATCGTGTTCACCAAAAATGTTAACATTTAGTGGGTAAATTCCTGTTTTTGCAAAACCAGCCTTGATATTATTAGGGGTACATGCTAATGGAAATGAGTTACCCACAATACCTGGTAAACTGTAAATAGACATTGTGGAACCAGGGTGCATTGTCATCCACGCATCGCAAGCTGTGTTTGTGTATTTTTTAAAAGGTCCAAATACACTTCGATCTAGAGGTTGAAGTTTATGGCTGCAATGAGGAGGAAATGAACAAACCGATACCCCATTTTTTTTAAAGTAATCTAAAGCCTCTACTGAAAGATGAGAGTCATGATTGTATAATAGCAACAAAACAGGTCGTTCTTTTGTACTTCTGGCATATTTGACAAAATGATGGGAAAACTGCAAAAATTGAACTTCAGTCATCCAACCAGATGGGTTTGCAGCGCCTGCACTTCCATCAGGAGCACCATTTAAAAAATAGCTTTTAAATTTCACACGAGGAAATATGAAAAATGGAGGAATTGAATTTCCACTGGCAGAAACAGCAACTGCCACAGTTACTAAATTGCCTCTCTCAGCCGAAGTAACACGCCCAATTTATTTAAAACCCTTTCTTGCTACAATATGATCTGGAGTTTGAACTGTGGTAATACCAGTTTCATCCATATTCCAAATATCTCCATTTTCCAACTTTAAACGATTAAGAATAGTTTGTAAATTTTTGTAAAACTTTTGAACATTTGTTGGATTAAAACTGGAAACACGTGCTTGACTTGTTGCCTCAGGTTTTCTTATTGACAGTTTTTTGTGCCTTTTGAGGTAAGCACTGAACCAGTCTTCTCCAGCTGCTTCATTTGCACTCCAATTATGAGGCATTTTTATGCTATTCGCTTTTCCATACTGATAAGCTAGTTTCCTCACTTCCTTAGGAGAAAGTCCATAATAAATATCAGAAGCTTTAGTCACATATTGTTCCAACAGACCTTCTTGTAAATCAGTAAAGACCTAAATGAACAATATCAATATTAAAACAAATAACACTATATATATATATATATATATATGTGTGTGTGTGTGTGTGTGTGTGTGTGTGTGTGTGTGTGTGTGTGTGTGTGTGTGTGTGTGTGTGTGTGTTATATAACACACATATATATATGTGTGTGTGTGTGCATAACACATACTAATATATATTAGTATGTGTTATACACACACACACACATTGTATTAGTATGTGTTATAACACATACTAATACACAGTTATAAAATATAACTTATATGTTTTTTAAGATCATTGAGAACTCTATTTGTAAATATATATATATATATATATATATATATATATATATATATATATATATATATATATATATATATATATATATATATATATATATATATATATATATATATATATATATATATATATATATATATATATATAAATATATATATATATAAATATATAAATATATATATATATAAATATATATATATATATATAAATATATATATATAAATATATATATATATATATAAATATATATATATATATATATATATATATATATATATATATATATATATATATATATATATATATATATATATATATATATATATATATATATATATATATATAAATCTTATATATGAGATAATAATTACTATACAAAACATATTAAGTTTATATATATATATATGTATATATATATATATATATATATATATATATATATATATATATATATATATATATATATATATATATATATATATATATATATATATATATATATATTGACCTGTCTAGATTTTATGTAACCTGATATTTGCTGACTATGACGTTGTTGCTTTTTGCAGTATCGGGACAAACTTTTTTCAGGGATATTAAAGTCTTTGACTGTTTTTCGTATAGATTTTCCTTCTAATAAAACAGCATCAACAGCATTTTTTATAACATTTTGAGGAGTTATAGCCCTCTTTGTTTTTCTTTTATAGTTTCGCATGTAATATATGTGATCTATCTAATCGATTTTTAAAAAAATAAATCAAAATTTATAGAAAAAGTTAAAATTTATGTCCAATCGCAACCGGGTTTAGTTGATATATACGGCCAACTTGCCCCGCCAAAATTTTGCCAACTAACCCCGACAGCTATTTGGTCACAAACTCCCCTACCGATCCCTGAAAAACGTATATAAATAAAAAATAATGGTTGGACAGATTTTACTGAACCATGCAAGATATAACTCCAATCAAGTTTACTTGTACTTGATGAAATTGCTTTTAAAAATCGAAAAAATAAAGAAGTTGTAAAAGTTACAAAAATGTGGAAAAAACACATAAATCACAATATCTTTTATGCGCATGCGCAAATCCCCACAATACTACAGTGAAAGATGAAATGGTCAACTAAGAAGGTTTCCTGAAATTATTGGCACTTTTTGATGAAAGACTTTGCAGATAAACGCAATTCGTCAACTTACCCCTGCTGCCAACTAGCCCCGGTCTCCCCTACCCTTTTAAATATTTATACGTAGTTTTTTAGTTCTCAGCATTTAAAAAAAGTTTTTAAATGATTGATTTTTGATGTATAGCTCCTTTAAGTTATAATGTTTATTTTAACAATAATAATGTATTTAGATTATAAAAATTTATATATAAAATGTCTAACGCAAACTATTTAAGACTTTGGCGAAGAAGTCATGTAACCCAGTTGGAAGTTCTTAATTCTCAGTTTATTGGGTTCACCATCCAAAGAAGAAGAAATTTTTGAAGGAAGACCTGATTTAAATAGTTTTTAGAAGAGGTTTTAACTTTATCTTCTATTTCTAGCAATGTAAATAATATTAATATCACTGAAGATGATAATATACACAATAAAGATAACTTGGCCTCTGAACTCTCAGCCTAGGCATGTGAACATCACCTTACCAGAGCAGCAACAAATCATATCTTGCTAATATTAAGAAATCATGGTCATAAAGATTTGCCTACAGATTCAAGAACCTTATTAAGTACACCAAAAAGAATTACCTTGCAACAAAAATGTGGTGGTGATTATTTTTACATAGGTTTAAAAAATTCAATAAAAAGCAAGTTAGACAAGTTTTCTCCTCATGAAATTCCTTAAAGACAATTACTCTTTTGATTAACATCGATTTGATTAACAATCGACCATTGTTTAAATCATCAAGCACACAACTTTGGCCTATTCTTGCATCATTTAAATTTGTCAGTCCACTTGTTGTAGCCTTTTACTGTGGTAGCTCCAAACCTGACAATTGTGAAGAATTTTTAAAAGAGTTTTTAGATGAGTATTGTAATTTGGAGGATTTTGGGTTTAACTATAATGACAAAAAATTTAATGTAAATATTAAAGGGTTTGTTTGTGATGCTCCAGCACGTCAGTTTCTAAAGGGAATTAAAGGTCATACTGGTTATGATGCATGCGAAAGATGTAAAGTTCATGGAGTACATATTGAAAACCAAATAGTTTTTCATGACCTTGATTGTGAACCAAGGAAAGACCACGGTTTTAAGCAGATGGCTTATAAAGGGCATCAGCTACTAGTAAGTCCTTTATTATACTCCAGTGTTCAATGTACCAAAGATTTTTCTTTGGACTATATGGATTTAGTTTGCTTAGGAGTTGTTAAAAGATTGCTTTTATATTTAAAAGAAGGCCCTCGTTGTTGCCGAATATCAACTAATCAGTTAAATGTAGTCTCTGATTGCATTGTATCTTATTATGGAAAAACGCCTACAGAATTTGCATGACAACCTCGTGCATTAACTGATCTATATAGGTGGAAGGCCACTGAGTTCCGACAATTTTTGACATACACTGGAGTTATAGCTCTTAAAGGAACTGTTAGTTCACCAATTTACATGAGTTTTTTATCTTTATCTGTTGCAATACGAATTATGCTTGAAGAAGATCAAGATTACAGAAATGAGCATTTAGAATATGCTCATAAATTATTGGTTTAATTTGTTCCAAGTAGTAAAGATTTGTGCAGCGATTCGTTTTGTTCATATAATATACACAGTCTTATTCACTTGCATGATGATGTTTCAAACTTTGGATGTAGTTTAGATGAAGTTTCTTGCTTTCCTTTTGAAAATTATTTAAATTCTTTGAAAAGGTTTATTCGCCAAGCAAATATTCCATAAGAGTTTGTTAAGAAATTACTTTCCTGATCCATTGGATTCAAAAATTGTTGGAATTTATTTTTTATGAAGTTCAAACATTGGAAAAAGAAAAATTATAAATAAGAAAGAAATTAAAAGAAAAGTTGCATGTCTACCAGTAAATGATATTATACGGAAAATGTTTTATATCTGTACGCTTGAATCATGTTACTATTTATTTATGATATTTTTTGGTTAGGTTGTTCACTGTCAGAAAGCCGTCGGTACACTAATGGTTTGTGTAATGTCGTAACACTCCGGTTTATGGATAAGACTACTGAAGTTTGCATTATATACTATTCGTCCAATATACACACTATTTATACTTTCTCCTGCAACTACTGTAGCGGGTTCTGACGTAAAGTGTTTTATAGTTTTTACGGGAAATTCGCTAATAGTACCAGTTGATTGAGGTCTAGACTAGACTAGACTAGACTGAGGACTTAAGGATACTGTTTTCAAATTTTTTTTCTCAATTAACACTGGGTTTGGCTCAATAACCGTTGTTTCTTTAACAACATTACAAATATGTTCATTTTTAAACAGCAGTTTCTTTAACAACATTACAAATATGTTCATCTTTAAACAGCAGTTTCTTTAACAACATTACAAATATGTTCATCTTTAAACAGCAGTTTCTTTAACAACATTACAAATATGTTCATCTTTAAACAGCAGTTTCTTTAACAACATTACAAATATGTTAATCTTTAAACAGCAGTTTCTTTTACAACATTACAAATATGTTCTCCTTTAAACAGCAGTTTCTTTAACAACATTACAAATATGTTCATCTTTAAACAGCAGTTTCTTTTACAACATTACAAATATGTTCTTCTTTAAACAGCAGTTTCTTTAACAACATTACAAATATGTTCATCTTTAAACAGCAGTTTGCGTTACTCGGGATCATGATCAGAAAAATTGAAGATTTTTTTTCTTGACTTCTTTGGGCACCGATACATTTGCTTTTAGCCTTACATGATGATGTGTCAAATTTTTTAGCTGCTGTTTCATGTTTATTAGACACTGACGGATTTGTTTGCTAAGGAGTTCTTAACTAAGATTTTATAGCAACCTGCATATTTAGCAATGCCGTTGTACATTATGCAGGTTATTATAAACATTAATTTTTTAATCAGAACCGAATGGTATAAACTAACAAAATCAAAGGAGACCTAAACCTGATTCTTTTCGAATTCCATTAATTTTTCTATATTCACAAATTGTTGTGAATTTTTCGAATGCGTTTCAATTAAGTTTAGATTGAGTTTTCCCATGTCGGCTAAATACTTATAAATGCTATTTGTAGATGTACCAATGGTTATTTACTCAACATAAACGTGATGGCGTCATTGGGGTAGCTATTTTTATATTCTTTTTTGGTAAAACGTCCTATATATTACTATATTAGATAATAAATTAAGAAACAAACAGAGCTATACCTATATTAATTTTTAAAGAAATCAGGTTACGTAATAATACTTACATCACAACTTTATTTGCTATTTCAATTAATGTTAAAAGCATTTTTAGTTTGTTAAAGGTTGTTCTTTTTTTTAAGTTTTTACTTTATTTGTTGTATTACACTTTGTCTTGAACTTACTTAGACCAAATTTAAAAGTAGGTTTGAGACTTTGTCTTAAACTTACTTTTAAATTGATTTTCAAAAATTGATGAAAAGCTGCACTACTAATAATTGCACATTAACAGAAATCATTATTTCTTTTGTCTTTTCTTAGAACAAAAGAAGTTTCAATTACTCTAACATTTAAATAGATAATAGATATCAGTATTTGAAATGTGGGAAAAACTCAAATTTTTGCAGATTTTTAGATATGATTTTTAAATGATAAGGTTGATTATGATCTTTGCATAAAAAGTTACCTTTTTTTATTGTTAAAATATAATTACTTATTACATAATAAAAATAGTTCAGTTAGCCTCCACATTTGAATAAGCTAACTTGATTGAATCTTTATTATATTCTTTGTTTTATATTCTGTAAATATTAGATAAATATTTTTTTTTGTATTTTGCAGATGCCATGCTTAATATATACCAAGAATGAACTAGAAATTTCGTTAAAGATTTCCTGAAAAGAGCACTGAATAGAAAAGGCGTCGGTGACTGTGAAAAACTAAACATTGATATATTTTAGATCTGTAGTTTGATAAATTTTTAGTCTTGTGTATACTTTTAATTTTGTATTTTATTTGTTTTAAATAATAAAGTATACTGGTTGCCGCTTCTAAAATGTTATCTGAGTGTTAAACTTTTATCCCCAAAACCATGGAAATTTCGTTATACGAACGATCCCATCTACGCGGTGCAGCTGATCTCCTTAAAACGTTTTGCAGCTCCAAAGACGCTTTTTGGTTTAAAACCAGTTTTTTAAACAATATTGGCCGTCCATGTCAACTTTATTCCAGTCTGGTGCAAATCAATCACCGTAGCGCGTTCATTTTTACAATCCATGGAATCTCACCAAACGCAATCAAACAAACAAACAAAAATTTTTGAACCAAAAAATATGCAATTTTGGAAGTTTAAAATGAAACTTTTTAACAATATAGTGGTTATCCTCAAGCTAAACCCTGATTTGTATTGGTTGCAAATCTTTTTAAAAACAAAATGAATGATTTTGTACTATTTTTTGCTGTCAGTCGAGCTAACGTTTTTTATAAAGCAGATATAAAAAATAAACAGGTGACATTTTTACTACTGAATTTACCGTACTGTTAAAGGGTTTGAAAAACCAAATAAAATTAAAAAAAAAAGAAAAAAAATGGAGACATTTCTGCCGTTTACGGAAAGGTAGTATTTGTAAGTTAGCAAAGAAAGTAAACATTATTTGAAAAACCAGTTTCCGAAGGAAACAGATATTTTATGCAAATATTTGCCTAAAGTAAATAAATAGATGAACACGTCACCTTAATCATGTTAATTTTTATAAACGGTCCATATCGTAGTGGCTGTCCATAAACGACGTCACGCATCTAGGGGAGGGAAGAGGTCCAGTTGTTTTATAAAATAAAAATTTTATATAGTAGAATGTTTTATATAGTATATTTTTTATCATAATGAATACTATTATTATTGTTGTTGTTATTATTATTGTTGTTATTATTTTTGTTATTATTATTATAACTAGTTTTATACTATTATTTTTATATTATTACTGTTGTTGTTATTATTGTTATTATTATTGTTATTATTAACATCGTTGTTTTTGTTACATCGTTATTTTTATGTTATAAAGTTTATTATCGTTATTATATATTGTAAAAATTAGCATTATATTTATTTTAATTAGATATTATTAACTAGGTGTTTACTTTATATTAGTAAATTAACTATTTGTAAACATAAATTAATTGATAAATAGCGAACGTCTCATAAATAAATACTTTTCTTCTTTTGTTATGAGTTATTAGTAATGTATATTTTGGTCTGATTTTTTTAACAAAATATTTCTTTCGTTTTGTTTTTTTTTCTTGGATCTATAAACTATATACAAAAATCAATTTAAAAAATAGCCTTGACTAGCCAGTTATTTAAAACAGTTAACGAAAAAATTAGTAATTTCTATGGCAAACTAGCAATCAATGTACTTGTTAAATCTAGCTGAAAAATGATGTTTATATTCATTAAAGTATATTAACGAATGAGAGAAAGATATTTTTATTTTCACAGTATATAAAAAGTTATTATATTTGAAACAAGTATGGAAAAATTGGTTGATAAATAGCCAACGCTAGTCTCGTAAAAAATTACTTTCCTTCTTTATTATGAGTTATTAGTAATGTATATTTTGGTCTGATTTTTTTAACAAAATAAAAACTTATTGTTGTCTTTTATTAGAAAAATTATCTTGAAAAAAGATGAGTGCTTAAGGTTTCTCTAGAATTCCAGTTTTTTGATTCCATATTTTTTCTCCTTGGAACTAAAAGAAGTGGAACAAAATGAATGATTGGAATAATTTCATTTAAATTACTTCGTAAAATAATTAATAATTAGTTTTATTCTATAAGAGTTTTTATAGATTAGTAAAAAAATATAATTTAAATTTTATTTTTTTTACAAATCTATAAAAGTTGGTTTCAAAATGTTAAAGACTGCAATAGATAGATTTATGTGCTCTACATATGTATTTACACCATTAAATTTGTCCGAATGAAATTTGTACCAAGTCTGTCAAATTTGTCAGTGTCTTTTATGCACATAAGGCGACGTCATTTCTTGTCGTCATAATCAGTACATTGTAATAAATCCGCCCAAATAGCTTTTTTCATAGCATACAAATTGTCAAGATTGTTTTTATGGGTAAGCCATAGAAGTACTGCATAAAATTGACTACAAATTTGGTTAACTTTTCTCTGTGATGGAGTCTTGTTTTTGTTTTCTTGTAAGTCTTGAAAACCTTACAAAGTCTATTGTCTATTTTCTTATGTACATGCGCAATAAACTCAAGTTTTGTGATACTGATACTTAAGTTTTTTGTCACTATCAATTTCATCTTTAAAAGAGGAAGTGTCACTATCAAATAAATCTTTAAATGAGAACATGTCACTATCCATAACATC